AGAGAGAAACATCATCAGCTGCCTCCTACACACCCCCCACTGGGGATGTGCCCACAAGCAAGGTACATGCCCTTGACCGGAATCGAACCCGGGACCCCCCAGTCCCCAGGCCTGCGCTCTATCCACTGAGCCAAACAGGCCAGGGCGGGACAGGGCTTTGCTAGTTGCAGTGAAATGCGGACCATCCTGGAATTCTAGGCTTAATCTCATCTGCTTTGTTTGAGGGGAATCTCATCACCAGGAGCTAATCCATCCTGATCCAATCCCACCGGTGGGGCGGGGCCTGAGATAGCCATTGATTGGCTCTGCTTGATCGGTTTCTTTTAATCTATTTTAAATTGTTTCCCAAGGGTACACAGAGGCCAGGGAGCCTGAGGGGGAGAGTTCTTACAACTTTCTAAGCAACAGATTGTACCTTCTGAAAAGAAAAAAGTCTTCAAGTGCCCTGGGGTGATGGGTGTGGTGGGTGAGCTTGTGTTCACGATGGCACCAGGGGCCTGCACAGCCCAGCTGGGCCCGTGGCTGGGTGTCCTCGTGTGCCGGCCCTGCCAGCTGCGGAGAGCGGCGGGTTTAGAGTCTGATCTGTGGACCTGCTGGTGGTGGTGGAGGGAGCCAGTTGTGAGGTGCGAGGTGTTTGACGAGCTCAGGTGCTTGCTGTGCAAACTAAGTGGCACCGGTTTCTCTTGCCAAGTGAACGTCCTTGGGCAAACCCCAAGGGCCCGAGGCTGTAGTGAGGCCGCTCCATGCTCCGCGGCCCAGCAGGTTCTGGAGTGAAAGTCCCGGTGAGCCGAGTTCTAACTGAAAGGACTTCCATCCGGACACTGGCAGGCCGGTGAGTCACCGCCCTGTCCCGGCAGGCAGGGCTCAGGGCGGCCTGGTGCCCTGTCGGTGGGCTCGCGGGACCCCAGCTGTGGGCTGGCTGCTCCTGCTCCCCCTCACCTTCCTGTTTGTAAGGGACCTGATTTGATAGGGTGATTCCAAGCGGAGTTTTGCTAAGGCTGGAAAAGCCCTGGGTGTGGGGGTGTCACACGGTGTGGGCTTCTGGCACAGGCAGGGGAGTGAGGTCTATAATTTTGTATTTTCTAAGTGTATAGTTTTCTGGTTGTGTCATAAAAGCTTCAGAAAGCAAGTGACATTTTTGTTAGAGAAAATATGTTTTAAAAGGTTGCCTGGCCGGTGTGGCTCAGTGATTGAACCTCGACCTATGAACCAGGAGGTCTTGGTTTGATTAGCAGTCGGGGCACAGGCCCAGGTTGCAGGCTCGATCCCCAGTGTGGGGCCTGCAGGAGGCAGCCGATCAGTGATTCTGTCTCATCATTGATGTCTCTCTCTCTCCCTCTCCTTCCTCTCTGAAGTCAATAAAAAAATTTTTTTTAAAGAAAGAGGACTAGCCCTACTGCGCTGAGACAGTCACCGGGCATTGCAGTCAGGTGGCCGCGCTGCAGTGTCTGCTGATAGGCCCAGCCGGGAGGCTGGCGGTGGGGGCTGTGGGCCAGGCCAGGGCTCTTCCTGCCACTGATGCCCCCGCCCCCCCCCCCCGCTGCTCTCACTGGGTGGGGCTCACACGGGGGTGGCGTCCCACAGAATCAGGGGTGACTCCTGCAATTGTCTTCTCTGAGAGGCCCTGGCCACCCTGGGCGCCCACACCTAACGTCCTGGGGTCCCTGCCTCGGCCCCGCCTGCTGCCACGTGCCCTGTGCGACCGCACCTCTCCTGTCCCTGCAGGTAAGGTGCCCGGCGACGACTGCCCGCTGGTGTGGGGCCAGTGCTCCCACTGCTTCCACATGCACTGCATCCTCAAGTGGCTGAACGCGCAGCAGGTGCAGCAGCACTGCCCCATGTGCCGCCAGGAGTGGAAGTTCAAGGAGTGAGCGCCCCACGCCCCGGCTGCCAGAACCCCCCCCCCTCCCCCGGGGCGGACTGAGGACTGGCGCTGTGCTGTTTGTTCAGTCACCAAGTTGACACTTTTATCCAATGAGTAAAACTCATTAAACTGCCTGAGCCTTGCTGGAGGCCTCTGCTTGCCTGTTTTTTCTTGGCCGCTGACGTGGCCTCGACGCCTGTGGATATGAAAACTCTCATGAATAAACATCTCTGGGTGCGGCTGAGCCGAGTCACTCCCCAGGAGGCAAAGGAGCCCAGCATCAGCCGGCAGAGCCGGGCAGGAGGGGGCTCCGCCTGGAAGGCCCCGGAGGCGCAAAGGCCCTGGGGTCTGTTCCTGCCAATGGGGAAGCGAAGGAGCCTTGGTGCAGAGGCCTATGGCCCGGCCAGCTTCTCACTGAGGAAGCCAAGCTGGTTTGCGGGCCCTGGCTGGGCAGTTGGGCCACTGCCACGATCCCTCTGCCAGGGGGTCCCCGAGCAGGTGCTGAGGCTGTTACGAGCGGTGGCGGGCGATGCAGGTGCTGGGTGGTCTGTCTCCATCCCGTCTCCCCCTCCTCGAGGCTGTGCCTCACAGCACAGGGACATGTCCGACAACAGGCTGTGTCCTCAGGGGTCAGGGCCTCTGTCACCTGGGGGGCGACAGCCTGTGGGAGGCTCCTGTGGGTGCAGCTCCTGGGGGGGGGCAGTGGCTTCTGGTGGAGCCTGGGGTGCCCAGGCCTGTGGGGAGCCTTTGACACCGACTCCTCCCCTCGTTCTCAGTGCCCCTCGGGGTGCTGCCCTGGGCCCCTGAGGTGAAGCCCCTTCTGCCTCGTGGGTAATGGCTGCTGTTGGTCGGCCCTCAGTCCCGGGGGTGAGAACAGGGCAGTTCCCTCGGGGGGCCTCCTGGTCGCCTGTGCGGCACCCACTTCCTGCCCGATGTGCCCACAGGAAAGGAACCCTAAGATGATGGTCTTCACTGAACTCAGAGCCCAGTGGGCTGCCCGGCCGAGCCCAGCTGCCGGCCTCGGCGTGGTTGCTGTCCTGGGACACGTCGAGGGGGAGACGCCTGTGACGGGACGTCTGGGGAGTGGGCGTGGGAGGAGGGGCTCCTGACAGCCTAAGGGCCGATGTCAGCTGCCCGGCCAGAGCCGGTGCCCGCCTGGTCCCCCTCAGGCCTGCTTCCCCTCTCCCTGCCATGGGCCTGGACTGTGGGGAGCCGATAGAGGGTTGAGCCTCGGACTGACCTGTTGGCAAAGTCACAGACAAGTCCCAGCTTAGAGGGCACAGTCCTCTTAGCATAATTAGGCTGGACCTTATGATGCTCCCTAGACCTTATCTGGGAAGCTAATGGGCTGAAGTGCTGCCAAAACTAGTGAAACTCACAAGAACAGTGTAACTATGTTTACCTCTGACTATAAATTAAAGGCTCAGCTCTTTCTCTGTGGCCTCAGCCAGGCACAGGGAGATCCACGGAGACTAGAGAGCTAGAGCGTTCTGAACGCTGTCTCCGTGTAAAACATTCTTCGCCGACTCCGTCCACACCTTTGGGAACCCCGGGCCCGCGGGGCTGGACCCCGGCACTGGATCTGGGAGTCAGGGCCTCAGGGGCAGGGCCATGGCCACCACCGCCGACCCCTGGAGGGCCTGCAGCTCCCAGGCTTTCCGCCCTCGTCCTGGCTGCCCCTGGACTCCCGCCTCCCTGGGGAGTCACTCCTGTGCCCCGAGGCTTCCCACCCTCGCCCGTTGGGACAGGTCACACAGCGCCCTCTCGGGGCACCCACGCTCCCTGCACTTAGGCTCCTCAGCCTGGTTCTCTCAGGGCCTTTGGTCCCCTCAGGCCGGACCCAGCTGCCCTCCAGAGTCCAGTCTGCCTCCTCCCGGGAGGGAGGCCCAGGACCCCATCCCTCCCCCAGAGGCAGGGGCCACCACCGCCCTGCAGACCTCCCCCTGGTCACTCCTCACCTCCCCCCTACCCTCCCCCCCACCCCCAGGGGGCCAACCTGCTGCGCTGCCACCAGCTGGTCCCCCTCGGCTGTGGCTCCAGTCAGGGTCTGCGTCCAATCCGTCTCCTAGACGCTGGCACCTAGTAGGTGTGCGACCATGGGCCTCGCTGGGCAGTGATGTCTCCTAACCCGGGATGCGGATGTTTCCAGAGCTGGGGCCTGGCCGCTCTGCTGCCCCTCCTCCCAGACCACCCCCCCAGCTGCCCAGTTGGAACCTCCCGCGGGTGTGAGAGGGGCGTGGCCTCTGGCCAGTTGCCCTTCAGGGTCCGACACTGTCCTGGGCAGTGTGGTCAGTGGCTCTCTCCGCCTCTTGAGCGCTGGGGACTCGGTGACAGGGCTGGGCGCCCTCAGATGACTTGGGGGTTCAGCGCAGCCTCCCTCACCCCTATCCTGTGACCCCCTGGAGATGAGACCATGGGCAGCGGGAGCGGCCTGGGCGCCCCTCCCAGCAGAGGAGGGCAGGGCTGGAAACAGAGGGCCAGCCCCGCCCCCGCTCCCGCCCCGCC